TTAAATTACTTTTGATTTTGTGCAGGAAATGAAATTAGTTAAGAACAAGTACCACAGTTTTGTTAAGTAACACCATTTAAGGGCATTTTGGGAAAGGAAGGATGATAAAATATTTAAGGACAAACACATCATCTCCTCTTGAGTGTGGCAAGAGGATATGATTTACAAAAGAAAAATTAAATCATCATGATTGTTAGAAGAACTGAAGTGCAGCTGATGTAAAATTTAGCCTAACCATGAATCAACTGGTCACAATGCATGTGGTGACTTCTCAGGCATAAAGAACACGATTGCTTAAGACTTTATGAGTGATAAGACCCCTAAAAGAAAACTGGCTTTCCTGCCAAATATTCAAATAACATGGAAGTATAGAAATATCTTGTCTTACTTATGGTTATTATATTACACCCTGTGCTCAGATACTCTGATACTTCAGGAACTTCTCATTCTACACCCTTTCTTTGGGCTATCTCATTCATTCCTATGATAAACTGCTACCTCTGAAGTCTACCCGGAGCTCTCCTATGAGCCCAGTATCTCTACCTGTATGTCTCATATGTATGTCAAATCAACGTGTCCAAAGTTTACTTCATTGTTTTCCATCCCAAATCTGGTCGTCCTCATCAGTATTCAGCCAGTTATCCAAGCAAGAAAAAGGAAAATTTTTGTTCTCTCCTCTGTTTTCGTACTTCCATTGGGTTATCTAGTCCTACGACTCCTAAAAGCTTTATAAATATGGCCCTTCCTTTCTTATTTTTACTGTGATTGCTTTTGCTCAAATTCTTACCATCAATTGCCTAGACTACCATAGAACAGCTTGACAGACTGGCTTCCAGTCTTTTACTATTCCAAATCTTCTTTACATTGCTCTTAGTTATAACGTTATTTCTTAACAACAACAAAAAGCAAAATGATCCCACACATGAAGACAAAACCAATGCAATGTGACCATGTCATTCCCATACATACTACTTTTCAAAGGCACTCTGCTGCCTGTAAGACAAAGTTCAGATTCTTTAGCAAGTCATATTGTGACTCTCCTTTCCTTTTTGGTTTTGCATTCTTTCCACATGCCCTGTGATGTAGCCACACCAAGTCCCTTGACATTCCCCAAACACACCATATCTGTCATCCTGAGATTTGCAGTATTTTCCTCTGCCTGGGATTGCCCTTTACATCTTGTTTGCTGAGAATTCCTAATCTTCAAGTTCCTCATGTACAACAGGGTGATAACAGTGCTTACTTCAGAGGGTCGTCATGAGGACTAAATGAGAAAGATGATCTGCTCCCCACAATGTCTGGCACACGGTAGCACTCAGTAAGTGTGAGCTATCATTGTCATTGTCATCCCCATCATTTTTTTTTTCAAGTCTGAACACAAACATCTCTTGCTGAAAGTCTTCCCTCATTTACCTAGAAGTGTTTAGGCATTCCTTCTCTCTGATTCCACATGTCTAATTAAATCAATTGCACATTAAATCAATTTCAAAATTGATGGAATTTTCATATTTTACCATCTCTGATATTGGGGTATATCTTATAATCTATGACATGCCGTGGTTTAATTGGCAGCAATTTTTCTTTCTTAGTGGTACTTGTAATAACAGTGTTTCTTACAATGAACGGCATATTAGGTGAGATACCAAATTTAAACTGTATGATAACTGCTGCAAAAATTGGATTATCCAGGGTGGATAATGCATATCTGTGGTGGGTGGAAAATCCTACATTTTCTATGAATCAGTGAAACATCTACATAAAAAAGGGACTGCTATCTGGAACTCCATAGCAGCCAAGTGATATTGCATTTGTATATACTGCAACTTGGCAAAGGCCCGCTCCCTGAATCGCAAAGGAGTAGCCTGATGAAGTAGATGCTGTCACCTCCTTCAGGTAAGCACCCCTATCTGAGAACCAAACAACAGCCAGACCCAGAGGAAAAATGGGAAGAAGCTAATTTGTGAAACTGCATTCTAATAACTCAGGATTCAAGCTGAGAAGGTAGAGCAATAATGTGCAGAGGAGAGTGAAGGAATGAGATGAGAAAGGCCAAGAGACCATGTCTTTAGACTAGCACTATCCAACAGAAATATAACACAAGCCACGTACATAATTTTAAATTTTCTAGTAGCCATCTATAAAAACTAAAAGAAACAGGTAAATCAATATTAACAATGTATTCTATTTATTTATTTAACTCCATATATTCAAAATATTATCATTTTACCATGTAATCAATACAAAAAATCAGCAATGAAATATTTTTATGTGTCTTTTTGTACTAAGTCTTCAAAATCTGGTGTGTGTTTTACAGCACATCTCAATTTGGATTGGCCACATTTCAATTGCTCAACAGCTGCATGAGGCTAGTGCATATCACATTGGACAGTACAGTTCTAGACTTTTTTTGACCAACTCAGTTAAGTAATGAGATAACAGTTAATAAGCTATTTTAACAGTGGCTCTTTTTATCACAAAACATGGGTAATGCTTAATAAGATTCCTACAATATTATATTTTATTTTTATATTTTTAAATTCTTTATAGAATGGTAATTTTCCTTCAAATTCCTTTTGTGCTTATTTTTTTTTAACCTTGATTTGAGGTTATTCCTAATGTCCTTCCCATCTTCCCTTCACTGTGTTGGTTAAAGGAGAGCTGACTCCTTTATTCAGTTATAGATCTTTCCCCAACAAGCAACCCTTGGGAGAGGGACAAGGAGTATACTATTCATCTCAGTATTCCCAGAATTTATCACAGAGCCTAACGTATAGCAGGCTCTGAAGAAATATCTTTGAAGACACATTAAAAGGCGACCTAAGCTTGACAACAGTGGTTCTCAACCCGGGCTGCACACTGGAACCCACCAGGGGAGTAAAAAATAATGCTGATGCCTGATCCCCCTCCCAGAGCTGCTGGTGGCAGGTCTGGAGTTTGGCCTGGGTGTCAAAACTTTTAAAGTCTCCTTCAGGAGATTCTACTACCCACCCAGGGTTGGGAACCACAGGCTTTCTTAGAACAGCTTATTGTGGCCACACACCCTTGCCTCCCTGACATAAGGTCCAGTTTGCCTCAATTCCCTCAATCAGAACAGAAGTTCCTTGAGAAACTTAGTAAAAAGAAGCTAACACATAACCCCAAACGGTGATTTACAAATTCCTTTTCCAAGGCACTGAAGAAGATATTTGGTTCTAAATCTATTCATATTTATCTTTTTTTCAACAAAAAGAACAAAATTCACAACACAAGTGTTTAAAAATGCAAGCTGGTTCGAAAAGAAAGGATTATAAGGTCATTATAGCATATAGGCAGATAACACCTAATATACACACTGCAGAACTTTCCAGATATAGAATAATAGCAATTAAAAATAAAAATGGAATCTAAGTTCACATGAGCTTCACTTCAAGTTAACTCTACATATGTCAAAAGCATAAATTATTAATTTGGGGTCAGCCAAGGGAAATATTTCAAGCTTTTCTTCAGGCCATTTAGGTTATATTTACATGACATAATCATAAAGCAATGCATCTACTTTAATTAGTCAGATCACATATAAAACCTACTTAACTTTAATCACTTAACACATAAGTGTTGGTATCAGTGTTTGCTCTGAAGATGGTACTTTGTCTGATGGCATTACTTCTACCATCTATGAGGTTCACCAATGGCCGAGAGAGAACTCCAACTTCTCCTTCAATACAAACAAGCCCTCATCAGGGAGGAGGGAACACGATCTCTGCACCAAGGGAGCAGCTGGAATGGAGTTCCTCTGACTTCCGGACTGAGAATTTCCCTGCCAATTCCCGAGGTGGTTTGGCCATACTTTCTGGATTCACCCTGCTTAACGGTCCTTTGTTGATGGTGAGGTATCACGTGTCCTTGTTAATAATCAAAAACAGCATGTTGATATATCCCCAAAGGTTCCTAAATGCATTTCCCCTGGCTTTCAAGCAAAGACAAAAGCTCCTTCTAACTACCCCACATTTATTTTTTTAATTGAGATACACCTGACATATAACATTATATTAGTTTCAGGTGTACAACATGATTTATGTATATATTGTGAAATGATCATCATAATAAATCTAGTTAACATCCATCACCACACATAGTTACAATTTTTTTTCTTGTGATGAGAACTTTTAAGGTCTACTCTCTCAGCAACTTTCAAATATGCGATACGGTATTATTAACTATAGTCACCATGCCTGTACATTACATCCCCAGGACTTATTTATTTTATAACTCTAAGTTTGTGCCCCACATTTATTTTTGTTTGACATCTTAAGCTGAATTTGAGAAATCAGAATAGGAAATATCCAAAAGGCATTAAATTTTTATGTTCACTAACAGAGATCAAACAAAGTTCCCTATTCCCGCCAAAATCATGGAGGAAGGGACATAACTTAGTAAGATTTCTAAAAAAGTACTGGGTCTCGGGCATATCACTGGCATCTACTAACTCCAAAGGGCTGATGGGTGCCAAGTGATTGGATGTGTGACATTTACCTGGCCCCAGTTTCCCTTTCTGAAAAAGAATGGAAAATATGACACAAGTTTCCAAGTTGCTACACTCATAAAACCAGGAAGATAATCACCATCCACCCGTCCAGGCTGATTGCAAATCTGAAATGCACGACTGCATAAGCCTTGCACATACGTCATTTGTCAGTTAACATGTACCGAGGATCCCCCTGGGCTCCAAGAAGACACAAAGAACGTCTTCCTTAAAAAGTTTACAAAAACAGGAGTAATGTTAAAGAATTCAAAATTCTTTGAATTTTGAATTTAAAATGGATTTGTAAGGTAGTATAAATGTTACAGGACAATTCCATCTACATTGAGTACGTAACCGCCATGGGAAGATGGACTAATGGAATCATTGGAGCTGCTGGTGGTCAGCCAGGATGCAAGGGGTAGTGGGCCTCAGAGAAGGATTCGAGGAATGAAGGGTGTTTCAAAGTATCACGTTATGTGCAGCTGACAGAGCTTCCTACCTTTCTGGAAGAACTCTTCTAGTGTGTCCTTGAAAGGTTGGAGATACTCCTTTGGCGACTCCTTGCACACCACCGTCATCTGTTTCTCACTTGCTGTGAAGAGGAATTGGGAATTAGACTTTCTCCAGAACACATACTTGCTGAGCTTGTGCTCTGTGCTATGCTCTTGGGTGTTAATTGTGCAAAATCCTTATCAGTCACTGTTCATCCAAATTCCAGGGGAAAAAGCAAAAACAGAAACAACACAAACAAACAAAAATAGCTCACTCCACGTCTTTCTTTAGGAACAAGGAAATGCATCACCTTCAACTTTCCTCTTAGAGATGGAGAAAAACCTCTGACTTGGGCCAGGTAAAGTACTGGGCTTTTGGTCTCTCAAAAATAAAGAAAACTACTGAAGGACTAGTCCCAGGGAATGAAAGGGCCCGACCTTCTTCAGATTCATACTCTAAAAGTAGAGCCTGAAATAGATTTTGCAGAAATTCCCAGGCATCCAAGTTGCCTGGAATCACCAAATTGGCAATTCCTCAGGGTTACACTCACATCCCAGCATGAGAATTAAACCTAGATTAGGGAGGACCACGTCTCTCTTCATGCTTCCCACTCACCAACCCTTTCTATTAATATTCCACTAACACACGTGAAATCGTTTTATACGGGATTTACTTCAGACAGAATATCTGGAATATATAATAGATTGCTTTTTTGAAAATCAAGCCCTCTCAAATTAGATAGTTCTGATTTGGTGATATGGAAACCACAATAATTCATAGTTCACCATCACAAAAGGCAGTTAACTCAGGCAAGAAGCATTTCCCCAAGGTTTCTAGATGTTTGTGCCAGTGGCAGAGGTACACTGGGGAAGGAAAGGCTTCATTTCTCCAAATCTAGGTCTGAATCATGATGACTTTTGTCTGTTGACCATGGCCAGAAATTACTGACATGTCCTTGTCCAAGAGAATATATTAAGGCATTGGATTTTCACCATAAAGAAATAATGCCACCTGGTTCAAAAAACAGAAAACATATACTCCAGATCTTGGGAGAATTTACAGAGCATGAAGGTAAGGCATTTTGGAAGAAGAGAGTTAGAAAGAGGGCCTTTATTTATGTTGGGAAATTTGCATCCAATAATTTGATGTTTTCAAAACCAGCATCCCAGAATGTTTACTATGTAGGCAAAGCAACAAACATTCCAGCACTGAAGCACAGCAAATGCCAAAGAGGCCACTCAAGTGTCCCCTGAAATTAGTTACTTGACTCTTTTCTCTTGCAATGTTGCCAATTAGATCACTGAAATCCTAGACAACTGTGGGAGATAGATTGTGCTTAGTGGAAAAGGTGCAAAAGAAGATAAAATTATTAAAGGGTGCTCATTGCTAATTCAATTAAATTCAAACTCCCAGGCCTGGGATTTAAGGTCCTTTCCATTATGGTACCATGCTACCTTTCAGCTCTATTTCCCACTATACAGTCAATGTGTTGCTTAATGATGGGGATACATTCTGAGAAATTCATCCTTACGCGATTTCATCGTTGTGCCAACATCATAGAGTGTACTTACACAAACCTAGATGGTATAGCCTACCACACATCTAGGCTATATGGTACTAATCTTATGGGACCACCATTGTACATGTGGTTCATCGTCAATTGAAACATCGTTATGTGACGTGTGACTGTATTTGACCAACCAAACCAAAATTATGCAATGTTTCTAAATTACATCAACCAGAATTCCCAGTTCCACCCTTCATTCATGTGGTTCTCTGCCCATCCTCCTCTCATCCCATACATACTTTCCATTGCATTTGACAAAGTCCTCATGCTAAAAAGTTTCTCTGAGAGGCTGCCACTGCCATAAAGCCCTTTCCAATCCAAAGCTTTTGCATCCTTCAAACACTGCTAGTATCTTCTGTATAGCATTTATATTTTACCTTTAATTATCTTTACTTGTGTACTTATATTATCCCTGAGAAGTTATCATGCAGGTTTCATTTGCTTGTCCCCAGACTTCTCCAGAGAGCTCCATGCGTATCTGGCCAATGCTTCTGATCTCCTTACCTTAACTAGATTCTTATGTGGAGGAAGGTTGAAAAAGTTAGCAATGTTGACTCAGACTCAAAGTGGGCTTTCCAGGAGTGCAGTGTGACGTCCTCATCTCTTGCCTCTTCCCTCCCTTTCCAGAAAAGGTACACCAAGGGTCTCAGTCTCTTCACTTTGCAAACACTGTGATTATCCCAAGCTGATCTGAATCTCTTAAAGTCCCCTCAAAACATCCACCACTTCATGTTGTAAGGCACACACAAGGTAGCAAAAAGAGTCTTCCTGATTGGGTAGTTCTGAGGGTAGGCCTAGAAGCAGGAGATTGGTCAGAAACACTTTGAAAGATGTTTGCTTTCAAAAATGAGTGTTTTTCAATGAACTTTCATGGCCACATATACTTTTCTGCTGATATCCAGCTCTGATTATGAGAACATAGGTAGCCATATTCAAAAGAAAGCTAGAATTTCTCACAATATAAATTGAGAGAGTCTTTTAAATTCTCTAACTACATTCAAATTCCAGTTCCATTTATAGAGAACTATTTTTCATGAGCACAAATAATATATGGTGAGGCATGCCTGAATTTTGGTAATAGGACATAATTGAAGCCATGACAGTAATTTCATCAAGGTTACTGCTCCCTAGGCAAAGCAAAGCCAAAAGCAGAGCTTTGTTTCCCAATTATGAAAGCAAAAATCTCCACTTTTGCCTGAATTAAAAAGGTTGATCGTTGTGGCTCTTCCTTTGTCTTGGCCACAGTGACAGAGCTCATGGGGTCCATCAAACTGCTCAGATTCTATGAGGCCATATAGTGGGGTGGTAAAGGGCTTGTGCCTGGATTGAGACCTACCTGGGGTCAGGTGGGCTGTGGCTTTTCTCATCTGCAAAATGGAGACCCCCCATTCATAGGCATGATATGAGAATTAAATGAGATAGTGCATGTAAAGTGGTTTGCAGAATGCCAGGCACCAGGCAAGTGGCCTGATATATATTTTTATGATTTAGTAAAACTGGTCAGGAAACACGTCACAGCCAGAACAGCAAGAGAGTCATGGCTGGGGATACTGGCTACAAATGCCGTGCACCATGTTTACGGAAACACGCTCCAATGCATATCTCCTGTTTAGAACATAGGGATAATGATTTTTGTTCCCTCACTTAAGTTCCACCACCCATTGTGAGAATTCACTGAAGAAAGTCCTGGGAAAGATGGAGCAAAATGTGAAACAAGTGTCCTAGGCTTCTGAGCTTCATGGTTTTGAAATTAGAAACTGAAACCAGCACAAAGGGGAGCAGCTCCCCTGCCGTGCATGGAGGTCCTCTCTGCACCCCAAAAGGCCCAGCCTCCCACGGGGCCTGTTACAATTAAACTTCACACGATCAAAGCAGACGGCTGCCCTCCAACTGGTTCAGCACAGTCTCGCGTCCCAGTGGCCAGGCAGCTTGCCCACTTCAACTTATTAACTTGGCTTATCCAAGGTGCTTTCTAGCAGACAAATGGGAGCACTGAAGACTAATTAATGATGACACCGGAGACCGGCAGCGCATAAAGGAGAGGGGTCACTGACAAATCCACAAATGTCGTTTATTGCCCAACCAGAAGTGTATATAGAAGTATACAATACTGCTAGACCACCAAAGTGGCCTCAGACATAGGCTGCGCCGGGAGGGCCAATGTTAAAAGCCAAAGACACCCCAGGTTCCCTGTCACTCTTTCCTTTTTCTATTAAATTTTTGATAGAATTAAAAGTATATCAATTCCTGAAGTTAGCTACTAATAAGTGATCATTGTGAGAGATAGACTAAATATTGAAAACTAACACTTAATGAAATATTAGAGACACCAAATTGAGAGTATTCTCATTTAAAGGTTAAGCACTTGTGAAGCATTTTAGTAAAAGGAAAGATATGGCTTTGAATATTTTAAGATTTCAGATATTAGACTGTTAAGGTCATAGATGGTTGTCTGTTTTTTGTTTTTGATCCCTAAGAACAAGGAATAAAGTTGATTGAGTCACTTAAAAAGCATGAGTAGGTTAGAACGCTAAGAGGCAAGGTCCACATACAATTAACCAACATCTAATACATGTTTAATCTCTTTAACAGATCAAATGTACATCAGCATTTTTCAGGAAAATATGGAGCACATCTCTTTCTCTATGAGTCGAAGGACCTATGGGCTTAGTAATGAAGTCAGAATACACTTTTAGGGGAATGAAGAGACGTATCTAGGCTCTGTTTTTTTAGTCTGAAATTCTCTCTTCTCTCCTCCCTGCTTACCTAATTCCTACCCCACCCCTCCATGGTCCTGCGTCAGTTCTACCTCTTCATTTTTACAAGATCTCTGTTTTTCCACAGGCTCTATGCTCAAAGGCCCATTACAGAGGACTTTTGCAGCAACATATAACTGTTAGTCTAAAGCTAATTTTTGTATTATATCAATGGGGTTTAAGTGAGAGATCCAAATTGGGGTCAGATTATAAAGGATATAGAATTCTGCATTAAGGAGTTTACCCTCAAGGAATTCAATAAATACATCAATTCACCAAGTATCTATTGTGTGCCAACTATGTGCCACAAATTGTACTTGGTACTAGAGATACACCATTGAGAAAAACAGACTAAAATCTTTGCCCTCAGACATTGTGAATGGGCCACCAACAAAAATTTCTTAATGGGTATGGCACATGGTAATTATGGTTTCTAGTAATTTGAGCTACCTGCAAACATGTGAATTACTTTCTTTCATATTAACATACTGTACTTCAATGTCTCTATTTAGTAATGGCAGGACAGCATGCCCTTCCTAGTGCTTTTCACATCAAAGAACATACACACATACACACACAGAGCTTTAAGTTTTCTACCCCAAAACACACTTTCATCAAAATAAAAACAAGTTCAGAAATCAAAATGTCAATATTGCATAACAAATCTACACCATGTTTTTTCGTGGTATTGGCCTTGAACTAAATGGTTAAGGAATTACAGTAAATCCAATGTATTAAAATAGTAAAATAAAAATAGCTTTTAGCTAGCTGCAATCT